GAGTCTCTAGCATGCTTTACTTGTGATAACAGTAGGAAACTATTCAAGAATTGAGTTTCTTAGCATCATCCCCACTCACTAAATTGATCTCTCCAATGGCACGTGTGCTCATGACGGTTAGGTGCCCAAATAGATATTGGCTTGCTATTCCCACTCAGCTGGTCAAGATGAAATGCCCTGTTGGCACAGTGATAGGTTGCGAGCAGCCTCAAGTCCCTAACTGCTGGGCTCAGCCACACTCTATAACTATCCATTAGGCTGCACACCCAGATAAAGCCTCCAGCTGTTCCCAAAAACAACAGCTCATCAACAAAAGCCAGCACGCACACTACAGACAGATGCTTTGCTTTTGTGTGATCTCCCTCTTGGCTGCACCAGCTCAAGGCTGACCATCAGGTCTCGCAGGAGGCTTGGCTGCAGCTGAAAGGGAGGTGATTTCTTTCCCCGTGCTCTGAATTTTCACACCATTTGCATTGCTCTCAAATCTCATGGCTCACAAGTGGCAGGTGCCCTGCATGGATGCAGAAGAGATGGTCCAAGACAGGAGAAAAGTCTTTTGCTATTGCTGCTCATACAATTGTAAAAGGGATATGGCTGAGCTTTCAGATTGAACTGATATTGCTACTATTGTATTAATACTAGTTTTTGCATTTAATACACTACCCATTTCAATCTTTACTGAGCTGAATTTTAATTAAACGGATATATTCCGGATGGATTTTGTCATTGTTGGTTGTTTTTTTTTTCTCTCCCTGGCCATTAAGACTCATTATCTGGAGTCATCAGCTGTTTTCCTTTGTTTCCCATCTGTTCATGCAGTACTTGGATTTTGGGACTCTTCCCAGGGTGTGAGATAATTTCTGCAGATGGGAGTGCAATTTCCACTGTTTTTATTTTTCCCCAATGGGGTTTCATGTGGCCACTGGTGGAAAAATGACAATTGTAATGGTTTTGATTAAAGATTTTCCTTATTACAGAAACTTGTTAAATCTCACCATTTTTAGCTGCTAGCTAGAGTCAGTGGCATTTTTCTTCAAAGAGGATTTTCAGTGCCTCCCCTATCTACAAAGACTCCATTCTCCAAAGCAAGGAAGGACTCTTTTTTGAAAACAAATCTTGTACAATTTCGTATCACAGGGAGAAAATGCACTTGTTTGTGGTTGGTGAGAAATAACAACTGCATGTCACTGCTGTTAACAGAAACAGAAACTGGAAACTAATGAGACTTTGAGGGGCAGGTCTAGTCTTGTGTGACCTGTGGTAACCACCTCACATCAGAACTTCAACTTGTGCATCAGCGAGGTTGTCATATCCAAAACTCACAGCTTCAGTAGCTCACTCCTCTGAAGTCAAGCAAACCTCCTCCTCTAATTTCTAGCCAAAGTGCACTTCTGTCAGGCTATTCCCACTTGATCTCATGCTAAAGTCATACTTCTCCTTCAATAGCTGTTCTCAGTCCCTGTTTTTCATTTCCTCCGGTGTTTCCATTTCAACTTTTCTTCTGGAAGGACAAACATGTCACTGTTTTCTATAGTTTCTCACCATAAAAACATTATCTCTACTCTCCTAACCTTCCTCACACCTCTCAGGTGAAATTTATGTTCATCTGCCTTGGTGACCAGAGGCAAAGCTGTGCTGCCAGTCCTGAAGCCAAAGCATGAGCACATATCTGTTCTAATACTATTTCCCCCTTACTGATGCTTGGTGTCACGTGCTTTTTCACATGTTACCCTGCCCATGGCAGGTGGGTTGGAACTAGATGATTTTTAAGGTTCCTTCCAACCTAAGCCATTCCATGATTTTATGATTTTCCTCATCTGCAGGTTGACAAACTTACTTTGTCAGTTTTCAGGTGACAAATTCAGGTCACTTCCATCTTAAAATGTGCCCTTTTTCCCCCCTATGGATTCATTTTCTAAAATAAATTAAGTGGGTAGTAAGTATCACAATTAGTTAATTTTCTGCTTTCATTTCCTTGTATTCTTCTTCCAGTAATTCCTATCTTGATTTTTCAGCATCTCTGACACTAAAATTGTTAGACACTGTAATTGAGTGTCAATTACCACTGTAATTGAGGGATGTTCTCTGGGCTGTGGAGTAGGGTGAGCATCTCTCCAGGTGCAGAACCCCTTTGGCAGTCTCACAGAAAGGGATGTTTTTCCAGTTTTACCAGGTTTTCACAGTTAGTTAGCAATATTCTGATTTGAAATTCCTGTTATTTGAACTAAACTTCAAAGAGGCATTTCTCTGTGGTCACAGTGCAAAACTCCAAGCTCTGCTGGTAGTATTGCGGTCCTGAGACTATGAATGCTTTAACACAGCAATGGCTCGGTAACACCTCTATCTCAGATGTGCTTGTATCACCTTCCAGCAAGAGACTCCAGACCTAGCAGGTGCCACCAGGTGGGACAGATGGTGCCACTCAAGCACCTTACTGCTCAGCAGGACCCAGTTTTCTGCATCACTATCTACTGGGCTCCTGGACATGCTCCTCTGTTCCTCAGAGGAAACATCTCTACTGATATCTGGGACATCAAATAGAAGATCCTTAGTTGTTCAGCTAAGGCTTTCACTCTGCAATTACAGAAACTCAAGAAGGCTTAGTCTTTTGGATATCCTATATAGATACATATATATATCCTTTTGGAGGAACATTTCTTTACCAAAGAACCCAACATTTCAGCATAGAAACACTTGCAGAATTACCACCTTTACCCAAGAGTTTGAAGACTTGTGTGGTGCATGTGGTGGAAAGATTTTTAATGGAAGTGCAATATTTCTTTCATAAGGGAAAAAGTGATAGAGCAATTGTGAGGGAATCATGTTTGAGGAGAAGACTAATGCTAGAAAATTGTTTATGCCTTGTGTAAACCTCACAGTATTCCCAGCCATGGCCTGGGACTCTCGTAGAATCACAGAACTGTAGAATATCCAGAGTTGGAAGAGACCCACAGGATCATCAAGTCCAACTCCTGGCTCCAACGAGACCACCCAAAAACCAGACCACATTGACTGAGAGCATTGTCCAATGCTCCCTGAACTTCAGCAGGTTTGAGGCCATGACTACTGCCCTGGGAACCTGTTCCAGTGCACAACCACCCTCTTTGTGAAGAAACTTCTCCTAATATCCAGCTTGAGCCTCCTCTCTCATTGCATTAGAGCTGTGCAATCCTAAGTGGCAGGGAGGGATGTTTATAGAAAGGTAATGTTGAAGTCTGCAGACCTGTTACCAGGCCTTTGATATAAATTATCTGATCTACTAAGTCTAGTCACACAGTTTGCTTCTTAAGTGTAAGTTTTTACCTTCAGTTAGGCTAAAAAGTAATTTCAGGGGAGGAAAAATCAAAGCAAATACTCATAAGAGGAAATCTGGAGAAGCAGTGAACTTTTCACCTATAACAGTTAGAAATGACCATGGGGTAGAAGATCAGATGGTTCACTTACCCGTTGAGTAACAAAATTAGGCTAAAAGTTAGATCTAGTCTGCCCAGAGGCAACATGACAAATTAGATTCATCCACTTGCCATATTTGTATTAATGCACTTTTGTATTAGTGAGCAGATTATAAGGGAAGACTTTGCCCCAAGGCAGGGTTTTCTGGCACTGAACTCATTTTCAAGCTGAGGATCCCCCCAGGGGCACTATGAGACCCTCACTTCTTTGCAGCCTAGGATGTGATGCTCAGCAAAGATTTGCCTCTATTCTGCAAACAGCTCTTAACACTTCAGAGCTTTTCTTTCTGTAAGGTTATACTTTAAAACCTCACAATATATTTTAATAGTAGCATAATACTTAGCATCTTCCAAAAATCATTTAGTTAGTTCCATTGCTAATATTAAGTATATATATATATATATGCTAATATTATAAAAAAAAGAGAGAGAGTTCTCTGCAATAGGCTCTGTACACTCACACTGGCTGACTGGGAGTCTGCAGTGAGAACCCTGTGGTTGTATGTCCCTGTGAGCAGTGGGACCCACAGCACTCCACGTCTGTCGCAAGTGTGAGTGCTTTCTGTACGAGGCTTTGCATTGCAGCATTTCTTTTTCCTCTGACAATGAAAGACTTTTAAAATTAATTGCATGACATTCTGGCTTGTCTGTGTTGTCAGCTTTGATTTTGCTGTGACAAAATGATGGCCGCTGCCTGTCACATGGAGTGACGCCCCGTGTGTGAGTGCTGTGCTCATCAAGTGGCAGCAGCGAGTTAAAGCCTGGCTGTGATCTGCACTGAAAGCAGTTCAGTGGAGTGCAGGGAGGGAGAGATGAGCCGCACGTTGCCCTGACGCAAAGAGCCAGCCGGTCACTGCTTCGTGGCTTTCTGGGGGCAGCTGGTGGTGACTTGCTGTGACACTGCCAAATCTACAAGCCCCAGTGATCAGTGCTGGGCATCAGCCCTCCTCACCCCATCCCCCCAGTTAGTGCAAATTACCGAAGGGCAATGTTTTCGAAAGCTGCCATTTTAAGCATGCCCAACCACCAGACCTAAAAGCAGGGTTGCTGGAAGAGCGGTGTTCCTGTGATGACGGGGCTGGAAAGGAAGGTGAGAACAGGAGCAGGAGCAGCAGCAGGAGCGTGAGCTGTGGCCAGCTCTCCTTTAGAGGGCAGTGGTGCTCATTATACGGGAGCTGCACTGCGAAGGAGGTAAAATGCTATCAGCTGGGGTCAGAGGGCACGAAAGGAACAGCAACACTTAGAAAATAGTACCGCAGTGGTGCTGCTGGGCGTGCTGTGCCATAGAGGAGAGCATTTCACAGACTCTGTGCGCTGCTCTGTGCAGGGGCTCATTAATTTCCCCTTGTTTTTGTTCCCAGTAATCATCATTCAGACAAGTAATTATGATTCCACCGAGAGTCTTCCTTTTCTCCTGATCACAGCCCAGGGTGAACCACACCTGACCATCAACGTTTGCCAGCTCTGCCACAGCCCCTCTCACAGCCCTCCCTGCCTGGCCTACCCCCAGCAAGACCACCTAGAGGCAGTTCCCAAAGCAGCACAAACCTTTTCATGGGCTTGGGAGAGTCCTCCTGCTCCAGGCTGGAGGATGCGTGCTTCACGTGCATGGCGTTGTATGAGGTGTGAGTGTACTCATTCTCATCACTGTAGTCAGGACCGAGCAACGTTCGAGCCCATGTCCCCATGTCGTATGGGGGAAGAGTCCCCCCGAACTCTGAGGGCAGGCATTCCGGGTGTATTAGCTGGTGAAGGCTGTTCAGGTTGTTGCCATGAAGAAAGATCTTTAAAAAATAGAGAAAGGTCGAAGTTAGCATTGCTTCCTTGCTTCATTAAGTACAGTAATAGCAGCACTAATGAAACGTGGGGTGCCATCAGTTCCCACTGCAGTTTCAGTGAGGGTTTCTGAAGCACCTTGAGGAGGGTGGGAAGGCAAGGATCAGCTTTGGTGTGTGGGGCCAGAGTTATGTTGAAGGCATAAGCACTTCAGAAAAGCCAAATTCACTTACTTTTGGCATGTGACACTGTCAATTTCTTAAGTAGCATATTGGGAAAAGTGAAGTGCAGATCAGAAATGACTGACTACTGCCACTGGAAGAGGCTACAGCTAGTAGGGAGCTAGTGAAGCTGACTGACAAAATGTGAGGAACAGGCCTTCAGCTTTAGAGAGGATCACCCAACCCTGAGCCCAAGGACTGGTGCTGCACAGCATGCATTGCTCTCTGCAGCCATTTTGTGCAGCTGCAGCCACATCAGGCTCGCTAAATGCCATTGTGACAACACCCATATCCCACCTGTCAAGGAAACCTCAGGTAAGGTATGGGCCTTCTGAGAGATGATCCAATGATGGCTTTAGGATCTTCAGTGGACAAATAGCTGAGGTGACTGCAGGACAATATGTCACATTGGTTTGGGTTGTGTGAGCAAACAGGCTTCAGGCACTGACGTCTTGTGTGGAAATAAGTGAGTTAGCACCGTGTGAAAAATGTTTAAGTTTATTCCCACAAAGGAGTTGAGCTGAAGTTTCCTTCTGCAGATGGCTTCAGCCAGACCAGGTAATCCCTCCACATCGCCACTTCTCTCTGTCCCTAAGCAGAGCCCATTAAAAAGGTTCTACACTTATAGTGGTAACTCGCTGTCCCTGGTTGAATTACTGCTTCAACCCAGACCATTGCAAACAGTATGTTTTAATAACAGCTGCAGTTCTCTGTGGCCCTATGAGAAATGGAGAGAGAAGGAGGAAGCAAAGAAAGCAGGGGTCTGCTCTGCTACTTCATATTTCCAGCTCCCACCTTCCCCAGCCCCTAGTGATTACCCTTTTCCTTGTCTTGTCTTTGAGGAATGGTTTGATTAGCGTGTACAGGGCATGGATGTACCAGGGCTGGTTGACAAAATGGACTCCTCCAAAGCGGGCAGGAAAGCTGTCCTACAGAAAGAAAGAAATTGAAGGCAGTTAATAAATGCATTGCTTTAGCCAGGCAGTCAATAAGATGAAAGCCAGAGAAAGAAGTCTGCCTCTTTCCATCTGCAAAAGCAGCTGAAGACCGAGCTTTCTGGAAAGGGGTGGAAGGAGGTGGGGAGAAGGAGAAGCCCAGAAGTGTTTCATCAGTCTCTTCTCTTAGCAGACAGTCCCTTCTCCCCTCCGCCTCAATTGCTGATGATGTAAGAAGTGGGCTACACCAGACGGTTTGCCCGAATGCTTTCAACTCCATCAAGGCACCTGACTGCTGGACTGGGAAGGAGGCAGGGCTGAGCACGTCTCCCTCGAGGAGCAGCTTTCTCGTTTCTCATTGTGCAGCGCACGGCGAGGCCCCGGTTCCCACGCACTCTGCCGCACGCCACTCACCTTTTCACCCTTCTGCCTCCCTGCCTCCCTCCTGCTAAAATCATCATTACAATGGCTGACCTTTCAGGGTGAGCGAGCAGCATATTCTGGAGAGGAGGATGGGTGGGAAAAGCTGATAAGTGAAGGTGTAGCGGGAGCACACCATGACGGCTCCATGGAAACTGGCCGAGCCAAGTGCTGGCAGCGAGGCTCTGCACAAACAGCCTCTGCATTAACATGCAGGTAGCGTCCTCCGGGGAGGTGTGTGCAGCAGCAGCCCACCCGCTCGGGCGGCCTGGCACGCTTAATAGGAGAGGAGGTTGCTGGTGAGTCTTGAAAGGTTACCGTGTATTGTGACGGGCATTTTGTACTGCTGCTCTCCTCTAACAAATGTCAGGCACTCAGGGAAGACCCCGGGGTCTTTGGCTTTCCTTAATAGCGGGATGACTGCTGCTCCTGCATGCAAGAACACTTCCAAAGTGTCTCTGCTTGGCAAAGGGAGATCCCGACGGAGCTTTCTTCATCTTTCCTGTGCACCCTGCAGCTCAGTGAATACAACCACATCTCTTCCTGCACGGCTCCGGCTTTCGCACTCAGGCGGGTTCATCCCCCACAGTTAGCATGGGGTATGCTAGGGCTTTTTCTCAGCTTTTTCTGGAGCATCACAGTCTGAGCACAGCTGGTGAGGGTGTGGGGAGAATCTGTGAGATGATATGGAAAATCCCCTTATACACCTGCTCAGTTGTTTCAAGCTCAAATTATTTCACAGATTTAGCACTATGTAGATACCCGACCACCTCCTGCCTCCACCCTTGCCCTTTGTAGATATGAGGGACCATTTATACTCTTCCACTGGCTGTGCATTGCCCTAGCAGTCATACAGAATGCACCCAGTTAATGCGTGTGAGGGGCTAAAGTCATAAGCGATACTCTTTTCTTTAGCATTACAGAAGTATAAGCCTCTTACATCTCAAATGTGTCGGTTTAGCTGAAATAATTACAAATCTCAATATGAAATCCATGTGCCAGCGGGTAGCCAGATCCACAGGCAGGAGCCCTTCCAAGGAGGACAGATGATCTGTAGAGGTGTTAATCCACTGTGAAGATAACTGCACTTCCACTGTTGCTGGGATATTAGTTAAAATTTTGCAACACTACTCTAATTAATTTAAACTACTGGACTGCTGCAGATTCCCATGACTCCAATTGTGCTGTCTTGAGAAACAGTAATGGAGAGTCTGGCCTTTATTCTGAGCCCACCTAGTGTTTAACTGCCAATGTGGCCATGAAGTGAAGCCAAAAGTGGCTTCCTATTGCGTGATAAACCTAAAGTGTGTTTTAGACAAGACTAAAGCCAAAAATTCCCATCTCATGCAAAGCTCGTATATATTCATTTGCTTTCCTTCCACGAGAATGAAAATTTGAAGATGTGAAATCTTTCACAGAATATTTTTAACATTAAAAAAAGGAATAAAGAGATTGGGGTGCTCTTCCTTAATAATATTGTTCTATATTTATCAAAGTAATTGATATCTCATAAGCTGTAGCTCTAAGAAAGAAGTTCTGGATTTGTTTGCTCTTTGGGACTGAACTGCCATAGCAGTACTAACTTGCAATATAACAGCACAGGTCAGTGCAGTAGATGCAGTCTGGATGTGAAGCAAAGCACAGTAAAGAAGAGATTGAAAGTATGGGAATGACTATAAGACACAGAGATTTCTATCAACCCAAAAAATATATTTTTTTTGTTTCTTCCTAGGATATACAGATGATATTAATCAGTATCTTCAGTGAGAAATGCCAGTCAGGCTTAATTTTCAAGGGGAAATTCTTTTTCTTACAAGTATATGTACCAGCCATAATGATACCACCTTACCCAAAAAAGGCCTGAATGTTGAGAATTAAGAGAACTAGCTGGAGGTTTGAATTGGCAGACTGCCTCTGGAAAAGGTTGTCACAAGAGGAAGATGTACTTTATATATTAAAAATGACATTTATATCAACCCATCATAGCCTTTTGCATCCATTAACTAGATTCTCTCTAGTACATCGGTTGATAAAGTGTTGTAGGAAAGCTTCTCATATAACAGCGTTATTTAAAGGCAGCTGTGATCCTTTCATTCTGAAGATACACCAGAAGGTGCACAAATAATTTTGTAAAGGCAGTATGATGATCAAGAAATAATGATTAAAAAAACCCTTTTTTTTTGCGTTTAACTTTCTGTTATCTTTGTTTCTTGCTCTGCTAAGCACATTAATCTCAGTTTGACTTTCATCCTTCAGTCCACCCGCATTTGTAGGACTGTCAATTAGGACAAGGATGAAAACATAATTTTTTTTTAAACCAAAGAAATTTGATATGGGAATCATCCAGACAATTTGGAATTGCAACATACCAATTTTGCAGAAGTCCCTAATTAGAGCAGAGCTGTCTTGGAAAGAAAAACTCTCGTCTGGAGGTCTGCCTTGCTCAGCTCTAGGAAGATGTATGAGACCTTTCCCACACCCCACTTAGTGTCTCTGCTGCTTTCCCTGGGGCTAGGTGAAAGTAGCTGAAATTGATTTTCTGCTGGAAAGCTTGTGCTGTTAGGAATTCTCTTTTGATTTCTCATGTCTCGTGATTCTGTGAGAAGGTGTATTTTATAATGAGGTGTATTTTTTGGAGCCTACTGTGGAAAGGACCCTGGGATCGTGGAGCCTTTTCTTAACCTGATTCCTTATTAAATAGTAAGGATATATTTACATTTTATTCCAGTGACATAAATAAAATATGACACATAGGAAATGGTCTACTTATTTGTGTACACTCTTGTTGTTTCTTTTGAAAATCAGGCTGGACGTAACTTCCTGTCACTCAGAGCAGCAATTTCAGTGTGTATAAACACATTCAAGCCAGCATTAAACCAGCTAGCTTACTACTCAGTGATAGCAGGGAAGAACCAGTGAAAGGTTTCCCAGTATCTATTTAAGCAGCTAGCTCACCTCAGGGCCAGATAAGGTCTTCTTTCACTGGGACCTGTTGATTAAAGTAAAGAATACATCTAACCTTGTAGCAGTGATACCTTTCCTAAATAGCACAGACAAACCCACAAAGACAAAATTGTCCCAACCCAGAGGTTTTAATAGCTGCCGTTGACTGAGTGAATCTGGTGCTGTAGATGGGACATAACATTTGTCTTTTTTGCTTTTATTAGGCTTTGTCAATTTGTTGGTTTATGTCTTTTGGTAGTTTCCCTAAACATCATCCCCGAAGAAAAGAAAGAAATGAACACTTGAGTGTCACAATAAAGCTGCCACGGATACCCCCAAATCCATACAGGCCTCAGTGTATTTTTTATTTCAGGTTGGAAAAGTATCTCCCAGATGCAGATCAGAAGAAAATGTGGAGAGCATTGATTGTCTTCTCCTCTGACTCCTGTGCTTGGAAATTTCTGAATTGAAAATGAGCCTGGGACTGGAATTTTTCTATATAAAATGTTCTGCTAAATAGCTCAGGAGAGATAACTGTGAGGGAGTTGAGAGACCTTTTTTTTTCTCTATTTCTGCCTGTTCTTGCCTTCATGACATCTATTTCTTTTGACAGAAATATACATAAGAAACCTTTAACTGTTTTGTTGTTCTGAACTGCTTGGCTCTGAAAGCTGCAAATCAAGATGATCTTCCAACATCTCCTCATATCAGCGTGGCAGAAATGCAATACAATCTCCAGAATATCAAAATTAGGAACAAATCCAACCTGATACAAATCTAGTTGATCTTTTCAAACCGCATGAATTGGCTTCATATACCAATGACCTAAGCTCGAAAAAACACGCTGTAGCATATTTCCAGCTTTGGAACATCTGAATTTTGTGACACAAGCATTTTTTAAACCAGTTCATAGCTTCAACCCTTAGCTATTAGAAAAGTAAACACACATCTTGCTATCCAAATGCCTGTCTTTATTCTAGACCACACTGGCCAGTTTAATGCAAAGCGTAATATAATCCCCTTTGAATGAAAATAATGTCCCTTAGATTCAGGCAGATTTCAATCATAAACAAAACTGTTTAAACCAAAAGGTCATTCAAATTGAGGATAAAAACAGCATCCTCATGCCTGTGTGCTTACATAATCAGTCCCTGTGGCAGATTAAAGCTCCCACAAACCGTATTAATAGTTCTGGGAGATTTTATTAATAGCTCAGTAATAGTTTCTCCCTGGAGAATTTCCGTGTGTGGGTGATTTTAATGGACTGGCACAATGAGGGGAGGATGCTTTCAGCTCTCTAACTCTGGATCCAAATCCAGCCTTGGAAATGGGTGCAGTGATTGAAAGTTGTTGTTCTCTGATTTTATGAGTGCCAAGTACTGGATAGGCTGCCTCTACTGAAAACACTTGAGAGCATGTTTGAATGAATGTGGCGTAACGCCCTTGGTGCAGCCAGAGCAGGCTGTCTTACAATATGGATTAGGAAGAAAGGCAGAGTGCCACCCTCATCCTCCAGTCACTGTTCTTAATTTTGATGCAGCCCCCAGGATCCAAGTGTTTAGCTGGGGAACCCAGTGAGCAGAAGGAGCTGGTGACTGCAGAGACCTGAGGTGCTCCTGTCTCCCTCCAGC